GCCCTTATTGGCTAAGCCAATTCATGGAGAGGAGCTTGTGCTCTACATATCGGTGGACGAGAGTGCTGTAAGCTCAGTATTATTGCGAGAATAAGGAGTGGCACAATTCCCAATATATTATGTCAGTCGAGTAATGCAAGGAGCAGAGTTGAGGTACTCGGAAATTGAGAAGTGTGCACTGTCGGTGGTCGTGACAGTCCGAAAGCTGAGGCCATACATCCTGAACCACAAAGTCAAGGTGCGCACAAACATGCCGTTGGAGCAGACTTTAGGTCGACCAGCAGTGTCTGGTCGGCTAGTAAAGTGAGCGGTCGAGCTGAGTGAGTACTCTATAATATATGAACCAAGAAGGGCGATCAAAGCGCAGGTATTGGCCGATTTCATACAGGAAGGTACGAAGGAGGAGGAAGATGGCGGGGGAATGTGGCAGTTGTTCGCGGACGGCTCGGTATCGAGGAGCGGGGCTGGCTTAGGAATAGTCTTGATTTCGCCCAAAGGAGATTATTTAGAATTTGCCGTCAAGATGGGATTCCGAGTATCAAACAACGAGGCAAAATATGAAGCGGTGACAAAGGGATTACAATTGGCTCTGGCCGGAGGTGCTCGAATAATCCAGGTCCATTCTGACTCTCAGTTAGTGGTCGGTCAATTCCAAGAAGGTTTCGAGATCAAGGAAGACCGGCTGCAGCGTCATGTGGACAACATAAAAAAGTTGAAGGAAGAATTTGGGACATTCGAATTAATAAAAATACCTCGAGGGGAGAATGGTCGAGCTGATTTGCTGTCTAAGATCGCACAGAACTTGGTCGATTGTAAGAGTAGGAGTGTGACCCTACTTCACATGGAGAGGAGCGCGGCTGAAGTCGAGGTGGCAGAGATCGAGGAGGTAGAAGATTGGAGGGCCCCAATCCAGAAGGAGTTACAGGGAGGGACCATAAAGGTGGTAAAAAGGTTTTTCGTGCAAGGAGGGATTCTCTATAAACGATCGTATGCAGGCCCACATTTAAGATGTGTATCCAAAGAGGAGGGTCGGTATGTTTTCCGAGAAGTGCACGAGGGATGCTGCGGTGATCATAGCAAAGCCGGGGCCATGATCGGGAAAATCTTAAGAGCAGGCTACTTCTGGCCGACGATGAAAGCGGATGCTAAAGAAATGGCCAGGAGATGTATGCAGTGCCAGAAGCATGGTCCGCTCATACACCAACCAGCGGAGATGATGACTACAATGAGTGCACCCATTCCGTTCGCGCAGTGGGGCATCGATCTAGTGGGGCCAATGCCACCGGCAACAGGGCAGCGGAAATTTTTGATTGTGGCGGTCGATTACTTTACTAAATGGGTAGAAGATGAGCCGTTGGCTAAAATTACGGAAGAAAAAGTGATCCAGTTCCTGTACAATAACATCTGCTGTAGATTTGGAGTCCCTAAAGTCCTGATATCTAATAATAGAACTCAATTCAACGGAAAACGTGTAAGAGCGTGGTGCGAGGAAATGGGTATCGAGCAACACTTTGCCTCTGTCGCCCACCCCCAGGCCAACGGGCAGGTAGAGGTGACCAACCGGATCATTCTAAACGGACTGAAAACGAGACTGGAAAAAGCTTCAGGAGCCAGGGTTGACGAGCTAACATCGGTGCTCTGGGCGTACAAGACAACTCCAAGATCGACCACCGGCGAAACGCCCTTTAGCTTGGTATATGGGATGGAGGCACTTCTACCAGTTGAATTAGAGCTGCAGTCCCAACGATCAGGCACTTATGATCAAGAGCAGAATGAGGAACTCATGATGACCGCCCTGGACACTATCGAAGAACTCAGGGAGCAAGCCTTGACCAGGGTTGAGGCATACAAGCAACGGATGAGGGCAGCACATGATCGAAAAATGAAGATCCGTCGATTCCAAGTAGGAGACCTGGTATGGAAGAGAGTAGATGTGCTCAAGCATGTGGG